TTTGTGCCTCTGACGGGGCACCTTAGTCAGTCTGTTACGAAAGTACGGCATTTACCTACTTGCTTCTACTGAACATCTGATATATAGTTGTGGAAGAACCAGCAACGAGTATCAAGTAAGTGATGCCCGTAACGGCAAGTCATGTACGGTTGCCAAGAGATGTCTACCGGAACATCAGCGGAGCTTTAGAGACCCACACCATCGGACCTGCGCCGGACACCCCGGCCCTCCGGCAGTTACCCGGACTATCTGCTACTCTGACAGCGGGAGGGTCCGTTTGACTCCACACTTCGCCGTGCCCGTACGGTAGGGTTTAAAATGGCGAGAGCACCTCACACAGCAGAGTGAGCCAACTGATGAAATTCGTTTTCGAGAAAACAGAAAAGTGAAGTCCCGGTGATGAAAAGATATGTAAAATAATCCCCCTTGATATTTCTTCAAGACATCGGCCGACAGAAGCCTCACAAGGCAGTGCAGTCGTGCAAGCGCAAGTGCAACAAGATCGAGACACCGGCAGACCCTTTGTGCTTCCAGGCCACAAAAAAAGGCCATTCTCGAAGTAAGGGTTCAACCTGGTGTTTTGTTTGCATACGACATCACCAACTTCTTATTTTCCTCTATTATTGTGGTTGGGCAATGGCTACCACCAAGTTCTCGTGATGCCAAAACCCTTCGGCAGTTGTCTGGTGGTCGTGTGGTGTGGCGTTGGGCTAGTAAACTGAGAGAAAAAAAAAAAAAAAAACATAAAAAAATAAAAATAAAAAAAAAAAGCCAACGAATGATAACGACGTCATTGTACATGCTGTAGGTGAGCTAGCCCTAGTACACTATCTATATGTAATTTTCTTGACTAATTTTCTCACCTGGCTGGCCCAACAAGCGGGGACGGGACTGGGCAATCTAAAGTTGTTTGTAACAGACGATGAGGCTTCGTTGGAAGAAAAAGAAAAATGATGAACATGAAAATATACGGGCCACATTCGCATCGAGGTGTCCTTGGCTTCTGCTGCCAGTGGTGTTTTGCCTGTTAGCCGAGCGCCGAGCTGCTGCTCAAGGGTCGGATATGCCTGATTCAGAGTGAAACATTCTGTGCAATCTCGGCATCCCCTCATTCACAAGGTAGACGACATATGCTGTGCTTGCAAATTTTCCGGAACTGATTGGTGAGTGATAGGGGCAGGAGGTTCTTGTTTGTAGAGCGGCGGCATGGATGCTCCCTGTCCGGCATCGGGATGCGGTAAAAGTGATAATAGATGTTAACGGTTAATACTCAAAATGGACGCTCGCACTAACAAGAACTATCGACCGCGGTGGTAACCCTAAATATACCTTGCCCGTGATTCATAACAAGGGCAGAAAATAAGGTTGATGCTGAGCAATGCAGCAACCCGGACAAACTGCATTGTGTTTCTCCTCACTTGATTCTCTCCACACTCAAGCAGCAAAGACTTTGTGTGCGTGACAGCCGAACACGCGGATGGTTGCGTCGTAAGGCTCTATTTCCCTTGTCAAGGGCCCTGAACGCCTGATGCGCTTGAAACCTACCTTTCCACATCGGAATAGTCTGGTTGGCTGGATGTCAACCTTGCTTCCATGCGCTTGCCCCATTTTCAGCGCTAGAGAGGACCCTTTTCGGGAGTGAACGAAGCTGTATCGTGAACTGGCGATGATCTTGGCACATGGCACATTTCGGTGAAGATTCCATCGTGTTCTGGGCACCTTTGTGTGTCTACCTGCGACGACCTCATGCTGCCTCTTATAACAGCACGGCAATATGTCAACCGTAAACTTCCCAAGCCATCAATCTTCCGCTCTTTCCAGTCACATATCGACGACTTACACCTAACTGACACTCTCGTAACGGCATTTTCAAACAGTGGCAGCATCCCTTACGAGTTGCCGAAGCGGGGTGTGCCAGTGAGGAAGCGACCAGTCACAAAGCCCCAAATCAAGATAGATCCCTACCTACGCTGTCCCCACCACTAGCCTAACACCTTTGATGCAACTGTCGTCATAGGACCGACATCTTGGACATCGTTCGTCCAAACTTGAACTTCGTCCCATCTTTCCGAGTCTTCGCTTAACCGCTGGCTGTCACCCAATTCGACTAAAACCAGACCTGATCCCCAGGAACGCGCGGCACTTGCCATTCAACGCTGACCGACTTCTATCGAGATATCCACCAACCTGCTCTGGTCTTTTTGCCTTCTCGTCATTCCCATCGTCTTCGCCACGCTCTACTTTAGTGTCGAGTAGTTGTACATACTCTAGCGAAGGAAGAGCGTCCGATCATCACCTACAAGGATCAACATATCTTACCCGACCCCTGCCATGGCTGGTCGAGCCTCGTTCCCAAACCTGGGTCGGACCAGTGTCGCTCCCAACCGCTCTGCACGGTGGGACCGAGATTTCTTTGATGAACGGGAACATGGCATGACCCTTGAGCGTGGCCGCGGCCCTGATCGTGACCGATTCGAAGCCCTTCCCATCCGAACTCGCAACCCGGACGACGATGATGACTACTTTCGCCAGAGCCGTCGTGTACCTCCGCCTAGGGAGCACTCCGTCGATGGACGCTTTATGCACGACCGCCGAGCCCGCCGCCCACATTTTGATGAAGAAGACGACGATGAACTCCTTTTTCGTGAGCGGCGCCGGGCCATGTACGACGACATCGAGACTCCCCGTCCTCCCTTTACCACGCGCCGACGACGGTCTCCTTCTGCAAGCTCCTTCGTCCGCCGAAGGCCATCTCCCGAAAGAGAAAGATTCCGCAGCCCATCTCCCCCAACACGCCCTACTGCTAGGATGAGGAGACGTACCTCCAGTGTCGATACATATGATCGAAAGCCCAAGGGCTTCTACGACCGCGAAGAGTATGACCCGCCCGCCAGAAGGTCCGACTACCGCATTCCTCCCAATCTACCGATCCCACTGCCTAGGCACAAGGCTTTGCCTCCTCCAAGAGTTTATGCCGAGCACGACTACTTCCAAGATATCCAAGTTGCGGATCCTTATCGATATGGTGACGAAGACTTCCATGCGTTTCCTGGGGGAGAAAAGTTCCACGAGCGCGAGGTCGAGAAGGAAGTTATCCACACAAGGCGCGGCCGGAGAGACCGGAGCAGGGACTCGCGTACTTCCCGTGCCACCAGTCGTAGCCGTCGAAGCCGCCGCCGAAGCAGATCGGTGGCATCAAGCACTAGCAGTTCTTCGAGTAGCAGCGGCGGTACTACCATCACAAGCAAGAGCGAGTATCCGAAGAAGGGAAAGACAAGGATCCCCTCTCGCTTGCTCTCGAGGCGGGCTCTCATTGAAAGTGGCTTTCCTTTTGTCGAGGAGGTAGGTTCATGATTTTGTTTTCTGGACCGGCACAGTTTCTCGCTAACACTTTCTTCAAGGGAACTACTACCATCATACAGAAGGCTCTCGGTCAAGAGCATATCGATCATCTGCTCAGGATGAGCGACGAGTACAAGAAGGGTGAGTGTCCAGTTTCGAGTTGGTATTGACTTCAGGCTAAAGCAAATCCAGCTGAACTTGAGATCCACGCCGCTCGCTCGAGTGCCGGCGATGTCATTGAGGAACGCGAAGAATCTCGCACGGAGATCATCGAATACACCGACACAGCTATTCCAGGGCCACCACATCATACGACGCACTACACTCAAACCACTACTCATGCTCACCCGCATGTTCATACTACCACCGTACATACCCATTCGCCTGTTCAAGCCACGTATACCCAGCCAGTAATGGTAAACGCGACTCCGCCCGTACATACTCAACAAGTCGACTTCGCAAAGACTGTACAGGTCCGCGACGTCTCTCCTTCACGGGCTTCCTCCTACAGCTCATGGGATAGCACCTCCTCTTGGACCGACTTGACCTGCACGACTGGTACCACATGCTCTACCTGCTCTACTGCAACAGTCGCACCTCGAGGACATGTACACACCCCCCAAGTTGTCCACGTCGCACACCCAGACGAATTTTCCAAGGAATTGATGATTCTCGATAAGAGTCACAGCATGAGTCGAAGCCGCAGTCGCCATCGCAGTCAAAGCCGCAGTCGCCATCACAGTCGTCATCGCAGTCGCCATCGCAGTAGCCATCGCAGTCGCCATCGTAGTCAAAGCCGCCGAAGCCGTAGCCGCCACCATTCGTACGAAAAAGAACGACACGGCAGCAGAGGCAATCTCGTTCTCGCCGAGCGCCTAGCCACCGGCGAGCTTGTTCTGCATGAGGAAGAAGTCGAGAGGATCGAGGAGCCCAGGAGGGGTGTGAGGCTTGAGAAGGACAAGAGAGGTAGGATGTCTATCAGTGTGCCGAGGAATCGCCGATAAAGCGTCACTTCCGGTGCGTTTGTCAAGTGTGATCTTCTTGGGTTGTGTGGAGCGTTGGGACAGACGTGCTGACCATTGGGGGTTTACAGGTCCTCCGCCGAGGTTGGTGAAGGCTATGTTGGCTACCTTGACTTGAGAAGAAACGGTCAGCTAGTGGCTAAACGCATTGTCTGTCATGATTACTTCCAGGCTCGGATTTGTTTTGTCTTTTTTACTGTTCTTGGATACCCGACTTATGCGCTCTCTTCTTTATAATGGTAATGATTTTGGAATGTCATGAGCCATGTTACATGACTTATGTTACAAATTCAAATGTTGTTGGAACGGGCACTCAACGTCGGTGGCAGTGGAAGTTATCTTTTGGCGTATTGGATAAACATTTGGCGGTTCAGTTCATTTATCAAATATATAATGCCTTTTCAGAGGGAACGACTGGCTCCCCCCCTGATATACCTGTCGAGCACGTTGTTCAATCCGTTTACCTCTAGTCAAATATTCATGGTATTACAGTGTTCACCACATCTTGAAATCAAACTCATATGCGCAAGTGCAGTCGAATTCGCTTTTATCAATTTTTAAGCCCTTTAACCTGCCCGATTCTCCGGGTGACTTTTCGGGTGACTTCAAGATTCATGTAAAACCCTTCGTGACGCTTTAAGCTTTTCCCGTTGTTTTCTCTTCAGCTGCCTCCTCCTGGGTCTTCTTGGTCTCCAACAAGATGCCCTTTGCAAGAATTTCAAGAGCGTGGCGGGACAAGCTGTCCTGTGCCGATCTGGCAAAAACGCTACCGACTTTGGGCTTGTTAGTTCTGGAATACTCATAACCCGGGCATGATCGGTGTGATTGTATCTTACTTCTCTGTGATCCGATGACCTTGGGACCGCTTTTTGGCTGTTTTGCAAATTATGCTGAATAAGCGGTAGTCGTTTGACATGGTGATGGATGGGTGATAGGTAAATCATCCAGGGAAAGATGTACAAGGGGTATCACTTGATGTTTAGATTCATGTTATAGTCAGGTAAGATCGTTCTTTGCGTTCACCCCTCTGTTCGCACTAGCTGGAATCCCGCTAATCCTTCCGCGGTTATCATCGATCAAGATCTCCTCCAGATTCCTCGCCCCCTTTCGTGACTTTTCACCCAAACTACATCCGAGTTTCCAGTCTGGCACACCACCGATGACAGGTCGTGCTGGGCTGAGAAACTATATTCTACCGTAGTGGGCTGAGCCGATTCTCTCTACAACACGATACAACACGAGTTAGAGAATGGCGTCTTGCTTGAACAAGTGAAAGAAGTAGGTACATTTCACCTTGGTTGTGGATGATTACCTACAAGCGGAAGCCACGGCCGCGTCGTTACTTCTCCGCTTGAGAAGCTCTCATCTTCTCCTGTCTCTCGAAAGCTGCCAAGTCCTTCTTGATCTCCCTTTGGATCCTTGGGAGGATCTGCTCCCGAAGAACTTCTAAAGCACGCGGCGTCAAAGTGACCTTCGGGCTGGCGACATAAGACATATTGGGGGTGATCGTGGGGGTAGTCGTGTTTTCGTCAACTTGGACGGTCTTGGACGAATGGTCGGACGTCTCGTTGGCCGGCATACTGTCGAAATATTCACGTCTGGCGCAAAGAGTTAAGTGGGAGTAGGTGGTGAGATTTGAGTGAGTGGATGGTTTATCTACCTTGACGATGTGCAAGTTGGAAAATTATTGTTGTGCGGTGCAGGTTGGAATACTTGATGGAAGATGATGTTTGGAGAAGAATGAATAGGTAGTTGAAAACTTTGGGGTGATGGTTTATGGCTTTAGCTAAGGTATTGAAAACCGAGGCCACAAGTCACTCGGGATGAGTAAGGTAGGTAATGAAGGCAATCAAGGGTTACGCCAAACATGCGTCGACCGAAACACTCCAGCGAAGGGAAAAGCAATGATGCATTCCGAGGAGATTGACTTATGTAAGGCTGGAGCACACGAGGTACGTGGGTAGGATCACTCAGTAGGTGCAATTGGCACGATACCTCTCAAGCAGACAACTAAGGTAAGCAAAATTGCTTTTGACTTTCAACCCTTGGCTTCGTTTCAAAGAAAACCATTCAAGTACTAACGCCTTCAAAAGCTGTAGAAGTAGATAACCCATCTATTCTGCGAGCAAACCTGCGAGATCACAACGGCTATTGCAACTGTCTGCCAGATTTATTATGTGCTTCAAGTCCCTCAGGCCAAATAATGATTCAGACCACCTCCAACATCCCCGTTTTCCAACCAGTGCCGAGTTGCGTCGTACTCCTAGTTTCGGGAAAGTAGAGGTAAGTATCTCTACTACGAGTTAGTGGCTAACATTGTAAGAGAGATGAAATACCTACCTCTAGGAACCCGTTTTCTCCTGTAAATCTTGCACCTCCCGCAACAGCAAGCACAGTTTCTCACTGAAAATCTCGAGCGCACCGTGCATCTCGCGTGTCGTCGAGAGCACCTGATCGCAGAAAGTTCCAACTGTACGGTGGAAGTTGTCTGCCTGGGGCTCATTGTTGGCGGGTGCCGCCTTCTCAACGGGGCAAGCGGTGGATTTGGGTACGCCTTGGACGCTTTGCTTTTCCATTCTTGTAAACGTTGCTAGACGAAGGGTAAGGTAGGTGGGTGGGTAAGTGGTAGTCAATATATGAGGTAGTGGTGGATACGCCACATACATTGGTGAAGCTGGAAAGTGTAGTAGGGTCTTTCCAAGCGGACAACTTTTGTTTTGTGGAATGAAAAGTGCAGGAGTAGGTGTATGTTTTGGAAGCAAGGAAAGAAGCTTTGGGTGGTGGATTGAGCTCCTTAAATACGAAATTGGGGGAAGTGCCAAGGTCGCACTTCACCGACGATGACTGTAGGTTTTCGATCCCCATTATTGGATTCTGTTGTTTTGCTGGGGTGAAGGTCTGCTCTTTGCAAGAAGCTAGATACCCGGCACGAAATAGCTGTGGCTTAAGCAGCAACACCTGTGGTTGTACTACCCTGACAAAAGCTGACTGCGAAATAATTTACGAGTGTCTCCTGATAGTATGGGGTCAACTGGTCTTGCGCATCCACTGCCTCGGGGCTACTGGTTACCTACGATCACAGTCTGACATGCCCACGTCTTGAAGGCAATAGGCTGACTACCAGATGACCGAGGCTTTTAATAAACGTACTTATTTCTTCTCGTTGACTTCTATGTCCGTGTCTTCCTGGGATTCTTCAGTGACCATCTCGGGGCCTCCGATCTGCCTTCACCTCCTCTTCTTCGCTTGATTTGCATCGTCACTGTCACCCTTTTCTTTTCTATTCCCGTGGCAGTCTTGAATTATCTGCTCCTTCTCTTCCTATTCCACGCTAGGTAGAGTGGTAACCTCTTTGTCATCTCCAGCTTTGCCCTTCTGGCAGCAACATGGAGATTGGAATACCTGTTCTTCTGTTCCACCGCCTTCTCCTTAATGCCAGCATGGCTGAATCGAAGCTTTCCAGTTACGTTCTGCTTTGATATCCATCCTCTGAGGAGTGGCAAGTGTTTTATTTCGAGTCAAGTCTTGCCCTGGACTTTCGACGCCGCCTTCTTCTGGGCCTGATTCTCTTGGAAAGCGCGCATGCCTGAAATGGATCTACCCATATTGTGTCTCATAAAAATATAAGTTCTTTTGCAACGTAGAAGAGTTCCGTACAGTCCAGCATCAAATACCCAATCTTACGTCGTGCATGCTAGAGAAAGGGGTGAATGGATGACTTTCCCCAAAAGACGTAAAGCCATAGATACGAGGCACGGTAGATAAAGCAACGCAGGATTTTAGGTTATAGATGTAGATACCTCTATGTGTATTTAAATCAAGTATTAGTCAGAGGATACTGGTATTTTCCCGTACTATGACGCCGATGCCGAAAACACATGCACCCAGTCCAAACTGCGCGCTTGAAGAGTCTTAAGACACTCTGTCATGATCTCTCCTGCGACAATGCAGCTTATATTCCATCAGGATTTAGCTGTGGTTTCAATCAAGTGATATCAAAATAGTGGTATAATTGAACATGATTTGCCAAACACATTGGATACCTAAATATTCCATTCTTCATCACAACTCCAAACGTCTAACTATTCTCCCTTTCTCCAGGTGAACTACATTGCGTTGCTGGTATATACATGAGCTAACAATTCAAATGTGAACGCTTTGACTCCCAGTCTTACCTCTTGATGTATGCTCCTGTTCTATTCCAAATCCGTATGTACAAAGCTTTCAAACATTCCGCCTTCACCATCGAACAAAGACATTACCGATCGGGTGACTCGGGGTCAAACAAAGGCAAGTTGAGACAACGGCAAGCCGGGTCGCTTCACGACCATTTGAATTGCCTGTCTCGCCTGTATAGCCGGACATTCTCAGCGGCGCCATTTTTGTGCTTCCTGGATGTGTGGAAATCTTGGTCAGGGATTTGAATAGGTACTAGGGGTACCGGTAAAAGGGGCCCATTATAGACATACCTTACTTGGGAGCAGTCATAGCTACAAGCTTCTTCCTGGGATACTTTGGCTGCGTCCTCGGCTTCGGCCCAGCCCTCCTCCTACCCTGGACAATCTCTCTGCGTTCCTCCTCCTCAGGCATCTCCTCCTCGGGCACATCCTCCATCTCAATGTCATCGGGGTCTACGGCCTCAGCGCTGACTTCCTCTTCAGTGCTCGCCCTCCGGGCCCTTCTCTCTTCCCATTCGGCGAGAATCTCTGCTGAAGTGTCCACAACATTTTCTGCCGGCTCCTGTAAGCCCAGTAGTATGGTAATTAGTACATTGCATAACAGAAAGAAAAGTAAAGAAAAGAAAAGACAGGACAGGGGATCAGCACATACCCAGGTTGGATCGTATTTCTCACCAGTCTCCGGGTTATCTTCCCAGTCTACCAAGTACTGGAGTTGACCGTCAGAGTCCACTTGTTCCGCAATAATGTCCCGGACTTCCCACAATTGCATTGGATCATAGGCCTCGTCTTCGGACTCCTCTTCGGACTCGTCTTCTGACTCCTTGGCCTTCTTGGCTTTCTTGTTAGACGCCTTCTTCTTGTTCTTCCTTTTTGGAGATTTGGCCTTCCTAGCCGGCTTTTTGTTCGCGGCGGATTTCGCTCTCTTCCTAGGTCTTTCCTCGGGCTCCTCGCTCTCCTCGGCTTCCTCTTCGTCATCCTCGTCATCGTCGTCAGATGCTCTTTTTCTCTTCCCGCCTGCCGCTTTTGTTGTCTTGCGCCTCTTGGCTGCAGGTTCCTCTTCGGCTTCCTCTTCGGCTTCCTCTGCAGGGCCCTCCTCAGGTTCCTCCTCGGATTCATCCCTGGGAGCTGGAGGTTCGTTTTGCGCGGTCATTCTTTGCGGCACGGTACGGATATTCAGCCCTGCGAGACGCTTGTTGGGGTTGATTCCCTGGGCTCGGAGAGCGGCCTTGTCCGAATGTGCCCCACGGGCGGTAGCGAGCGTTCTCTTAGGCATTGTGGTTGAAGGCTAACGGATTGCTGAAGGTGAGACAGCTAGCAAGGTTTCCAAACTGGATCAAAATGCGTATGGCATCTTTTCATGTTCACATTCACTCGAGTTTATATATATTTTCGTGATTGGTAACAAGTGGAACATGTTGTTAGAGAGAACAAGGTTCCACGCTGCTACTCGAAGGTGACTTGATGGTAGACGACTCAAAGGCGGAGGACACAAAGCCGGACGAAACAAAGGCAGCCTAGACAAAGGTATACAACTCAAAAATAGACGATTCGAAGATGTACGACTCAAAGGGAACGAAACAAAGCTGAGTATCTCAAATCATTGTCTAACAGGTTGTGGCTACTGCTTCCTCGGACAATCTCGGTACTGTCACATTATCTCCAAACAATGCGCACCCTCAGCCGTGTACCACTTGAAAGTTTCCAGGCACTTCACCTCCGCCCTTTAACAAAGAAATGGTCATGTTCGATGGTTATTTAATCTCGTGAACAGTTGGTGACGCAAAACCTGTGTGTTATCGAGCGCCAAGCGGCGATATGGCAATGTTTCCCGTGAGACTAAGGTATATGTCACTCGATGAGCTATTCATGCCAGGAGTCAGGATCAAGGTGCATGGTTATCGGTTACTAATGACCTGAATTGAAGAGGGAAGATGATTTGGGATCATTGACCCAGCGGCTAATAAACCTATGGGAGAAACCATTTCCACGGTCGCCTCGTGACTCTGGCCATGGTCGCAAGCCCAGCGTCAAGGTTTGAGGTGCAAGGGCTTGAATAATCCAGGTATTCACCGGGTGTCATTCTATGAGTGAAGGATATGGACTGTGGAGCATATGTATATCCAACCTGAGAAGGGTTTGAACGTTCAGGATGTAGTCTCTTGAGAATGAACAGATGCCTCAGATCCGTAGACGTGGTAAGGGCACGCTTCCACAGAAGGAAAAAAAAAAAACCGCCGAAAAATTCAGGATGACTAGCATAAAGCAAAAAACAGCAAGAAGACAGTGGAAAGAGCCAGTTACTATCCGAGATGAGAAACTTCCCGTTCAAGAGTGTTGTTGGAATTAAAGATATATAAATCGCAACTAGGACTGCCGTTGGTCGGACGCTATGCACTTAGCCCCCCTGCGATTTGCCAACTTTGATCTTGAATCTGGAAATGACCTTATCAGACTCGCCGCTCTTGACGCTAGCATACCTGTTACTGGCAGGTAAACATTAGTGCTCTGAAGCCACCCAGAGCTAGATACAGTCAAGACTGCCACTTTCCAGTCCTTCTCCCAAAACAAATTGTTCCTGTACCGTTATATACGAGTACATATCTTTCCTGCCATACAGCACTGACTGTGGACCCAGGAGGGCGAAATGGTGGGCGAAATGATTGTCATGAGTGTAATGATAACTTGTCGATGGTAGGTGCAACAACGCTTCGACATCGGCCGCGGAGAGACTTCTCCATTTCTTCATGCAAGAACCATCACCCCAACATCTCAAAATTCCTCTTCCTCCTCGACGACATGCAGAGGAGGGTACTCGAAGCCCCAAACGCCACATCTGATACATTTGCGGAAGTCGGTACAGTGGGCTCTGGCCGTGGTTCTTTGGGCCCTTCCAGGCTCAGGCTTAACCTTGGGCTCAGCCTCTTGCTCAGGGTCGTTCTCATGCTCGGCCTCAGGCTGAGGCTTGGGCTCGTCATGAGGTTCTGAGCTATTGACAGCCATAATGGAGTCAGAGGCTGAATTGGAAGACGACTTGGAAGACAGCTCGTCCTTAATTTTCTGAATGGCTCCACGGTTAGAGGAAGCGGTGGAGGACCGAAGAGTCGGCCCGGAATACTGCTCCTTCTTGACTTCAGCGGCAGAGGAAATAGTTGACGAGCGAAGAGTCGGTCCGTCAACCGACTCAGAAGACATCTCATCCTTGATTTTCTGAATTTTCTTGATGTTGTTGGCATGGGAAGCGGCAGAAGACCGGAGAGTCGGTCCGGTGTACGGCTCTTTCTTAACATTACCGGCAGACGAAGTGGTGTGGGAGCGAAGAGTTCTCCCAGGATGTGGCTTCTCAGCTTTGACGGCAGCGGAAGCAGTCGAGGAGCGAAGAGTCGGTCCGGAATATGGCTCGGGAGACTTTGGCTCAGCTTTGACTTTGCGAAAAGCTGGCTCAGACTTCTTGGGCGAAGGCGTAACGGACATTCTCGGCGGATCCCAAATGGGACGAGGGGCCCCCTTTGCCTTCAGGGCCATCGCAAGACGCTTGTTGTGGTTGATACCTGCAGCCTTGGACTCAGCTTTCTTTTCGCGAGAGGCGCGAAGAGCAGACTTTGAACGACCCATGGTGGTTGCGGGGTAGATTTGATGTGGCCAGGTAGGTGTAATCCCGAGCAGTGGTGGCTTAGGTTGTTGATATACCTCGTCGCAAAGCAGAGTTATTTTGCTGCTCCTGTTGCGAGAAGCTTGGTCCCAGGATAAACAGTGCTGTAACTATGACTGCGCTTGGTAGTAGGCCGGCGCTCAGAGATAAGTTACCGCGAGTTCTGGAAGACTGAAGAGGGTCTTCATGTCGCGCATGGGGTCTCGAATTGCGAAGGAGATTCGCGCTTGATGGTATTCAACCTGTACTGATCGATCCAACTGCCGAGAACGTTTGGCTTAAAGGAAGGGCCGAGTGCTGAAGATGCGTTTATTGGATTTCCGGTAATGGTTTCTTGAACCTGCGGTCGGCTAGAACCTGGTTGGGGTAAAACGAGGAGGGGTCACTCAGGGGATTACTTGCGAGTGCGCGTAACTATTTACAGTGAATGAACGCGAGGAGAGGCTCCAGAGCACCGCGGAGTAACGGAGAAAATAAGAAAAAGTAGCAGGTTGGTGGCGGTGTTTGAAACCTTGGATGCGCGTATACGCGTCAATTGTTGCAACCAGGACGGTGAAGTGCTCGAGAGAGCGCTCAAGTTCGCGAAAGGAAGGTGCATGAACGGCAGATCCGAGTATGCAAATTTGAATACCAATCCTGAGAAACTGTTGCCGCGGAGTCCAGATTGAGGTGACTGTTCCCGTTCCGGCCTCGAAGATAAAACAACTTCCCTGATTGGATTCCCGTATGACCTGCTTGTAAACGCAAGAGTCCAAAATTGGGCTCCTGGCCACTTCGAAACGACACGAATTTTTGCCCGCCTCTCAAATGTGAAGTGTCCCACCCCTCTGTCTAAACCCGTTTCGCCGCAACATTTGTTCACGATTTCAATCTTCGGCCTGTTTCGAGAAGGCGAGAAGGTGGAATCCAGCATCTGTGACAATCCAAGTTATCGGTGATCTTATTCTGAACACTTGTGCATTTGTCCTCTATTTCGCAGTCACAGAGTCCGGGAAACGATCGCGGAACGAGCTAGAGGAATACGGGCACTGTAAGGAGAGATTGGGCGATCCGACTCGAAAGACTGCTAGAGACCCTGTCCGGCAACCAGACAAGTTCGTAGATAGATTTCGGAGGGTCTCTATAAGACCAAATCCGCCGCCCATGGTAAGATTGTCGGAGCCATGTCCACTATCAAGATACCGGCCTGTCGTTGATGGCATCACTTGTAGACCGGAGATGCTAGGCTTGTCGTAAGAGGTATAGATCTGGTGTCGCGCCGGGTTCGCTGATAAGCGAATACACATATGCAGAGATTCTTGGATCGATATTAGTCTGATATGGCGTCCGTTCTCATAGGGTATTCGTTTCCAGATGCATATCGGGAATTCAGCCATCGAACATCCTATAATCCAGCGCGCCTACATCGATGCCAAACGAAACAGAAAGCCGTATCACTGACGAAGTGAATATGTGCCTCAAATGGAGCAGCCATTCGGCCGGACGTTAAGGCCTTCTCCTCTCGACACAGAGCAGCCGAAGTTTCATACGCCAGCAGAGCCCGTGGCTTCATCCTTCCCAGTATCCGGATCTGTTCTTCGTACTCCTTATCTCTCTGTTCGGCATGCGGGAAGTTGTACCTCGTTCTCGTCGCGGGTGGCTCTCGGACGGCCTCTTTACTTGGTATGCCTCGCGGTAGGCTGCTTCTCTCGAGACGATGTCGGGAAACGGCGGAGTATCTAGGATGGGTTGGCGGCGACGCTATCGTAGAAGCGGAAGTGAAGACTTGGTCGGTCAGCAGAGATTATGGAGAAAGCCAGTTTGTTGTGTACTTCTCAGTTTTGCGGAGCTTTAGAATAAATGTCAGATTTGTGGTGTTGTGTTCTTGCTTTCTTTCCATGGCTGGTTGTAGAGGGAAGTTAGCGGGTAAGCACGATCCGAGGGGGCGCAACAAAGTGGGATGCATGCTGCCACTGAATTAGATGCAATACTATCATAGTTGCTGCTGCATGCGCGATATCAGCGTTAGCGCAATAACATCCGCCATGCATTCCTCTTTGGGTTCCTCAATGTGCCGTGCATCTCGGGTCTTGGCGCATTTCCCGCGCAGACTCGATTTCTTTCCCCGCCCGACAGCATCGATGCGTGGAGAAATCATCACGGCTCCGCTTCTGTCTTTGCTGTGTTTGCTCTTCCCATCGCCTCGAAAACTCAGCACTTGGTTAGCAAAAACTTATCTGCTGGTGATCTAGGATTGTCTGAACTGAACTGCCTGTCTGACCCGGCTGGTCAAAGATGCCAAAGGGACCAGACTCACCATTTTAAATCGCCCAGTCGCCTTGGTCGAGCATAGGTATCTAAAGTACCCCTACCAGCAAACTGGAACCACCAAAGGCGAGAAAAACAATGGGTTCGCAGACGTCATCACCAAGTTCTCCTCGAGTATAGATCCAGCTTCAAGATACCGAGATCTGGTCCAAAAAAGCAAAGTGGTCACAATGAACAAGGGAATAGTCTTGGTACTTAGCAAGAGAGTCAAAGGCGGGATGTGAAAGGGAGCAAAAGCAAATTTCCTATTACTCAAACATGTCTAAATCCAAACTATAAAGTACAGTCACACAAGCCCCAACATTCCCATATTCATGTCGCTGCCGTGCCGCAGCAGCTTGTAGTACCTATCATTAATTCTGCGTGTGTGGTGTTGTTGTGGGCAACGGTAGTGGTGATGGAGGGGAGGAAAAGAAAACCAAGAAACCCAAAAGAAGACGACGATGTGGTGCTATGAAGGGGGAAACGGTTCAGTTACGTTCTGTCAGGACGGCTTGTTGCCATCGATGTGGAAGGAAGGCAAGCTTGAGTTCAGGGCACAGAGAACCCAGGCAGGCACACGAAAGTAGCGAGCAGTGGTAAGTGCGTGGAAGTACGTACCGGCACCTACCTCTACCACCAGACATACCCGGGGCTCCTTCCTTCGGGGTATATGTATTGGATCTGTGTGTGTTACTTTCAACAAAGCGCGGTTGGCGTAGTGGTTTAACGCGTACACTTCCAAAAACTTGTGCTGAGGGATCTGGCTCCGAGGACGCACCACACAATTTGTGTGAAGCAGAAGCGGCGTGGCGACCCGCAGTACTAACCAAAAAGTGTAAGACCCCGGGTTCGAATCCCGGACCGCGCACGCATTTCTTTTTTCTTGTTTCGCATTTGTTTTCCTCGGTGTTTCTCCTTCCGCTTGATCTTGGCATTGGTTGATCATGCTCCTTCCTGTCCGCCCCTGTCTGTCGATGGAATACAGTGGATGTCATTTACTCGGAGCTGCCGGGCAGGGAAAAAATGGAAAAGAAGATGATTACTTCTTTTGATCCTTCTTCTGGTCCTTCTCCTTCTTGTCCTGTTGCTTATTGTCCTCATCCTTCTTCTTGTTCGGATCGGGTGCAGTCATCCGCCTCACCGTGAAATTAGGCGTGAGCTTCTTCTCGGGCATTTTGGATCGTGGGTGCAGAAAATGGAGAACCGGTTGTAGATGGCTCTGGGTTGTGATGAGATTCTTTTTGTTGTCTCGAATCGTTTTCTGTCGAGGCTGGTTTGGAGAGAGAAGATAGAACATCAGGTGGGGGTGATGGTGCCATCTTTATACTGAAAATGCTCCCTAGTTGTGCGGCATTGAACACGGGTAATGTCCTATGAATAATACCGTGGGTGATTGTTTGCCAGGTCATAAGAGTTCTAGGACCGATGCTGTTGGGTGGAATAACTTACTGTCCACGGGATGAAGACATCAAGCTTCGAGCTTCGGCGTGGAGCTTCGAGACCAGACATTCTTCCTTTGTCGACGAAAATGTCGACGGGATGAGACAGCTAGTACCTAGAGGTAGCCATGTTTTGATTTCACCTTCTTTATCGGTCGGATAAAACTGTCAAAGATCCCCTTTCTTGTGTTCAATTCCATGTTTCTGTGCTAGGCAGCTAGCTGTCTTTGTGGACACAGCCCGGCTCCTCGAAATGAACAACAATCTATGCTACTTCCAACTCAGAATTAGCGCTTCGGTGCCTAGGTCAAGAGTTGCTTTGTTCAAATCCAAAGGCAGCGGGACGACGACTTAATAACACCATAACAAAAAGTGTATGAACTTCGTCTACATGAATACTACCATGCGAACGAGGGCAAATGATGGCATGGGGTTTGATGAAGAATTGAATGAATTGAAGGACTTGAAATTGAAGACCGCAAGGGCGGTTAAAACTATGTGCAAGAATGTCAAAAAACGCGGCTGGTCATCCTCCCGACCAACCCGCCGTTGATCGTAGATGAGACCCCAATTAAATATTACTCCCTAGAGGCACTTACCCCATCGCCGTTACTCCGAGTCCTCAGTTCTCCGCCTCCCAGGCCTATTCCTTCCTTTCTTTTTCCCTCCCCTAGGAGGTCTCGTCGACCCTCCTGCACAACTCCCCAAGTCCAAGCCCACGGCACCCCTTAATTCTCCTGGACACCCCCTGGCGCATTCGAGTTGACGGGCCCCTCAGCTTCCACAAGCTCCAAATCCGCAATGTCATAATCCCACGTCGTCAAGTTACCAACATTGGCGTCACTGTGCTTCACCCACCAAGGCACCCACCTCTCGGCCCCGGTAAACCCAACCTCCCTAACCGCAATCCACCTCCACTCGTTGTACAAATCATTGCCATATCTCAGTAGAAGCCTCGTTTCATTCTTTGCCTGGTTACAAACCTTCTTGACCTTCCAATCCTTGTACAAATACACGGTTCCTTCCTCATCAGGTCTGTACGTCTGCACCAGCCTGTACGCGTCTGGCACGCCCTCGGTGCCGGAAAGGGCGTAGTAGCCGGGCACTGGAGGAGGGTGAGGGTTGGTGGGAACGACGTAGAGGAGAGAGGGGGTAGTGTCGTTGATGTAGATGCGCGAGAAGTGGTCGGCAGGGTTATAAGGGGCGTGCGAGACGCCGGGGGAGATCCAGGGGATCGAGTTGTTTAGGCGCAAACGCTGGCCGGAGATGACAGAGTTGCCGCCGATGAAGCGGAAGAAGCCGTCGAAGTCAGCGAGGACGGGAGAGACGGCGAGGGCGCTGAGCGCGTTAAGAAGGGTGGTAGTTGATTTCATTTTGGTTGGTGGTTTGATGATGGTGGTAGTCAGAAAGAGGTTCAGTTGATGTTTCAAGAAACTTGTTCGATCTGGTCCAACTTTGGGAAAGAACGAAGGCGGACGGTAGAGCTGAGAAAAGTACCCGCGACGTTCTGCTTTTGATATAAAATGGACCAACTGTTGTGACTTGTTACACAAAATGTTGGTAGGGGTTGACGCAAGCTTCCTGTCGATCTGGCGAGACACAAATCGGCAAGGGAGATGGGGGGGAGAAGAAGGACACAACCGTTTGTTCGTCAACCGGCCGGCCCTTCATTTATACAAACCAAACTTCAAGCCCCAGAGTCCCCGATCGTCCCCAGCCTGCCTGCACAACAGCAAACTTTCTCTCTCCGGAAGGGGCACTTCCAACTCCGCTTCTTATGGCGCAAGTAGGTATTGGTGCTGACCGACTTCAGTTTGGTTTTTCTTTTCCCAGTGTACACTAGGCTTTCCGTTGCTTTTCGTATTCCGAACGCCAACCATCTTGGTCAGCTACAGCTGACGACGGAACGTGATCATCACCTGGAACCATGGACCTTGGGGCCCTTGGCGTTGCCTCAAATCCTGGGGTTGGAGGGCCCTTTAGGGACCTTACTACTACGTTAGAGCTAGTACACAGTAGAGGTACGCCTCAGTTGAAGGGTAGCGCGGTACAGCCAAGGCGCTAGTGGTGCTACAGAGAACTAAAGTCTTGATATGTTTGAAATTGCCATTTCTCGTACAGACTGCCACCTTATGACCGAAGGCTTAGAGGTACCTCTAGTAGGTTGCCACCCCCAGTGATCGCCCAAATTCAAGAAATGGCCTTTTACATCCATACAGAGAGAGGTGTTACAACCTCGTATTCCGCTCCCGCATCACCTTTACATATATCAGGTGTGATACCCCAATCACACGTCACATCCGCTACATCCGGGATGCCGGACTGGGTACCTAGAGCTGAACCAAGGCCGCTGTGGCCGCCGTAGCCTCCGCTATTTGACAGCCTATGTCTGAATTCCGCACTTCCACTTCCTCTCCACACTGTTGAAGGGTTATAGTTGGCGGTGGGTTGGGTGTGCCGGGACGAAAATAGAGGTCCCGACGGGATGGATGGAAAAAACATTACATCACCACGCGGCGCCGCCAGGTATCCCGTCATCATTAATCACCACAAACTTGTGCTATTGTCGAATTCTTGATTCGTCGTACGCTTTGCGGGCTGAAATGGCGTTCGATACCTGTATGCCTATGCACGCCATCGGCTGTTCTGCTCCAAAGGACTCGGCCATGAAAGTTCGTGAGTCTTGGCGGCCGTGATGGTTGCACCACAGCGGTAATGCCGAACGCCCTTCGGTTGATAGTATCTCGTGTCATTCAGCTTATCCTACTTGTACCAACAACCGAGGATTTGTTTATATAAAGGATCGCTTTCCCGTCCTTCGTATTGACATCACGAGACACTCTGAAACTACCAACTAATCGTCCCGAACTGTAAAACTTCCAGTGTTGTTCGCTTTTGATCGATAGTAGCTTACCTATCATATACGAAGCCCAAGTGGTCTGACGGGTTGGTTGACTGCTTCGTGCAAAAAGATGGCGAGAGGGACACTGGTACACTACATCGTGGATCTCGCGCAAACGTCGCAACGGACCGGCATGTTAGGTTTATAGTGGTCTCAACTACTTGGGCAGATACCCAGTATGCGACATAAACCACTCAGATAACGACATTCTCTTCGTGCAAACAACGACTTTGCTTTCAGACCAGAAACACAGTCCCAGGCACCTCGGTCTTCACCGATAAAGTCCCTAGTGCATCGTACAAGAAAGCCCAAAATCGCACGCACGCTTTCAAGTTCTCTTGCTTGCTTGCATGCCTGACGCTTATTTCAGTCCTGAAGACCGGTGTAGTCTGCGAGAGAAACATGTCGAATTCCAACTACATGGAGGCAAGCATAGACAACTTGATAAAGAAAGAGAAGAAGAAAAAAAAAAAAAAAAAAAAAAAAAAAAAAAGCCGACTGTTGCAAGCAGGTAATCCTCGAGTACAAGGGAACACACCTATAAACATTGCCGAGTTTCCCTCTGTACAACTAGAAACCCTTCAACCCCTCCTCCGTCTCAATCTCCTCCTTCTCAGGACACCACCGATCCTGTAGTTCCTTATCCAGCGTCTTCCCTATAGTTTCACTTTCCCACCACTCACCCCAGCTCGTCAAAAAGATGCGATTCGGATCTTCGGGGAAATCATCCCGCGTAAAAGCCCGCAGTATGCTCTGTGCCCCTATTTTCCTCTGTTAGTAATTGACTCATATGAATCAGAGCCTCCGTGCATCACCTCCGCTATGTGCACGGCGCCTCTCTACGTCTGATATACGTATCCCATCGGCCAGATATATGCACAAAGAGCCTAGAGCAACACCGAAAGAAACATGGAGAGTCGGAAACTCACCTTCGTCCACACTCTTCGCATCCTTCATCTCCATGCTCAACACGAGTCCACTTCCCCTTCCAATGCCCGTCCCGGGGATCAATCCCGGGCTGACGGCCACCACCTTACACGCCGCATCCTTGAGCTTTCTCCGCCACCAGTGCGCCCCGAGCAACTGCACAAACTTGGTCTCAGAATATACGGTGTTTCCGTCCTTGCCCGAGCCAGCCAGTAGATCTTCTTCGAGCGTGCTAGGGTCCGTAACGCGGCGGATAGCGCCCGAGGACACTACGACGATGCGGCTATTGTTATCGGCAGTGGTATCGGCGGTGGTGTCGGATCCGGGTCGGAGAAGCGCAGGAAGGAGAAGGTGGCTCAGGTAATGTTGGGCTGTTTTGAACCGGCCTAGTTAGACTGTTCTGTCCGACAAGATGAAATAGAAGCCTCAAGGGAATAATAATAACCAGACTTACATAAATGATTGACCACCAACGCCTCACACCATTTGCTCCCTCCTGGCCCCGGTTCCTCAGTTCCAGCGCCATTCGCGATCCCAGCATTCAACAACAAATAATCAATCCTTTTACCCTCAAGCTTCTCCAACGTCTGCTTTGCAAAGTGTTTCACAGACTTGAGATCAGACAGCTGCAGCGGCAGGATCTCAAGAGAGTGGGGGTCCAAGGCCGCTCCTTGAAATGCAGATCGATAAGCATCTTGGGTACGGGACACATCGCGGGCGCCAAGGATGAAATTGTACGGCTGCGAGGTCTGGGAGAGGAGATGCTTGATTACGTGGAAGCCCTGTGTCGGTGTTCAGAGTGTTGGTTCATGGCTTCTTTGACTGAAGAGGGGGGGGGGAATAAGGGTGTATGCCGGAGCAGACATGACATGGACATGGAAGGGTTGATCGGGAGGGACCAAAGGAGGGGTGGGGTAGTGTACTGACCAGACCGGATGAAGCACCTGTTGCTACTACTGTTTTGGCAGTGGCGGCCATTTTTACAGTCGGCTGTTTTCAGGATGCTGCGCAGTTCGGAGTTGGTGATGTTTTATAAGTGTAGGTCTGGAAGACTTGGGGAGAGAATACATGAGTTGTTGGGAAAGCTTTATCGACGTCGTTGACGACCCTGCACTGCTGATGTAATCGATGCAGTTCTGTGACTACCTACCTACATATGTGGCCTCGCGGCGGCCTGTACACTAGAGCAACCTGCAGGTGCTACCCTCTGAATCACATATCAGGAACGTCCGAGACGAACCACTTTGATAAGTATCCCAAGCAGAAGAGCCGGGGTTAGGGTAAACTCCGGTCGGAAAGTGCCAAAATCCGGACTATCCAACCACGTGCTTCTTACTCTTAGAAAAGAAAAGCTTCCTGTACTGATATAGAATTACGCTGGTCTGGTTTGTAAGTCGCACTATTTTCCGAGGGGAGCTCAGCTCGGACTCGTGTTCATTACTACCTGACCCTCTCGGTACTCCCAAACTACCTCTACCTTATATGTTGTATGGGTATCATGTCCATGAATCTCCTAAATACTAAAACAATCGTGCTCAAGCTTGACAACCTATATTCTGCGAGATTCCACGTCTAAAACATATCCCTCAGTTGCTGGTACACCCCAGCCCCGTTAGAGGACGCAGGGCTTCCCGTGGATGCTCTCCCAGTCATACCAACATCATGAGAGTTCGTCAAATTGGAAAAGTACCCACCACCTCCAGCGCCACTCATAGCCACGTCGGGTGAGTGAATCCGATTCGCTCGCGTCCTTCCCGAAGGCAGACCACCTTGCATATTCTCAAAGATGCGAGACATCTCATTATGTAGCCTGAGCCCGTTGGTCAGATCATCCGGCGACGAGCCTTGCATCTGGCTCTGATGAGCCGCCGGAGTTGAGGCATCCGAGGCAAGTTCGCCGCTTCTGGTTCCTTGAGAAAGAGTGTCGGAGCGGCCAAACGGCCCTCCTCCAGAGTATGTTGCAGTGCCAGGGCTGTATACACTGCTCGCAGGACTACCGCCGGCAGCATTGTCTTGGAAGCGCCCGAGTGGCCTGGCCATAGCGCTGTTGCGGGTCGTCGGGTTCGAAGTTTTCGAGCTGTCTTCTTCCATTCCCAACCGAGCAGCGTACTTCTTTAGGGACCCAATTGTGCGCCATATTCGTCGCGACACCCATGATTTTGCCGACATATCCTTGATCAGTTCAAGGGCCATGTAGAATTCCTTGCGGCAGGACGCGCTAAATTGGAGTGGTGCGTGGGTGGAAGCGAGGAACAAGACGGCGATGGAGGAGGTGAGAAACTGGTGGCCAAACATTTGCATGCGGCGGTATACGTTCGTGGTATCGTTGAGGTCCGTCAGATAATGAATTGTCTCTTTGGCTAGCTCGACGGCTCTGCGCGCAAACTCCATGTTCTCGGCGATGCTGATGGCGCTGTGCAGTATTGGCGTATACAGCCAGATGCGTATCTAAAAACAGGAGTAAGCAACCGATTTCTTCCGAGAAACACTCTAGGCTACATCAACGTACCTGGTTGAGCCTCAGTCGGGTCCAGATCTGCAAGCGCTGGGTGCCCCCTATGGGCATCTTGACTGGTTCATGCGTACTGATCTTGATTTCTTCAGGCACGCTGTCGTACCAGGCAAGGATCTTAT